TGCTAAATCTTCAAATGCCACACGTAAAATCACAGAAGTTAAAAGTTTCGCCACAATTGTATACCCACAATTTAGTTTTAGCTTGGTTAACCCCCATGGCAGACCATTCCAAAAAGAACTCGTCCTCTTGCTTTACTCAGTGAACCTGAAGATTTAGCAGGCTTGAGAGTTAAAACGAAGTAATTAGCGCTACCTTCGATTTTACTATAATCTGGCCAATCTGACTGCTGCTTTATGTGCACGTATTCATTTCAACAGCACTTGAATCTTATTATAGGTATTTCAGCTGATGGTCGCCGAGTGTTGTAGAACACATCCGCATGACTCTCGTTGGAACAATCTTTCTTCTGTCTGCGCACTATAGTTCTGGTTGGACACCAAAGGACGGAATTATTGGACTCGTGTTTACCTCTTAAAAGAGCTCAGCAGCAAACATGACATTAGTCAGGAAGCGTTCGGACACATTAGCGCCACTTTTCGGGAATTGTAGTGTATTTTATGGCATTCGAATTAACGTAAAACTCTCCTCGTACTAAGTGAAAGTGAACGTGTTAGTGATGTTGCACACTCGTACAGGACAACTCCACCTGTAGTTGGTGCATCATCATTGGCAAAGAAAACACTGATGTTTATGCACAATATCATCATTCCAATCGACTGAATAACATCAGTGTTCTACTGGCCGGCCCATCGTTTGACATAACCAAGGTATCTTACTAGGTCGTCGGTGAAGTCATCGAGCGGTCCGTTCACTTCACTCACGCACGAACATGTTCACCTGCTCAATCCTAAGAATAAGGATGAACCCAACGGACGCTGGTGGATTAGGGGTAGCACATATTTTAGTAGTTTTGAGTTCTCGGTAATCGGGCCTGTCAGATGCAGCGGATGGCTACGCGGAAGGAAGTTGGAGCAGGACTGACAACTGATGACCGATGTTACGTGTAACGTGAGGCCTACATCAACCGTCCTACGTCTAGTGACGCTCATTCGGACAGTACAGAGGCTAACTTAAAAGAAGAACGTCATCGCTTAATTGCCAGATTCTGCAGTGTCTCCAAGCAGACACAGAACAGATCAAGAGGGCCATGAACGAGAAGGTGAATCCAGCAAACGCTACCCAAATCTTTCGCAATCACTATTATAAAGCCCTGTCAGGTCAAAATTCGACAACCTCTCTGCTTCACGCCACCATGAATTAGGCACGGTGAGCAGCAGAAATCATTTCGGGTAAACGATAATTCCACGTGCGGAACACCTGCTTCAACGGACGCAGCTTTTGGTGTCGGACATTTCCTTCCATTGAAGTGGCCGTTGCACAACTGAAAGGCACCTCTCCAGCTGTCTCGTTTAGTATTTGTTGAAGCTGGTCTACACGAGCTATGGTTCGGAAACGATGGTTGTACACGAACTGAAGATGACCAACATTCCCGTCTGGCCACGACGCACAGTTATTCTCGGTGAAATAGTCTGGGAAACAGCTTGATATGCGCATCAGCAGAAATTCAGGAATATGCCACACATATAACACACAGTACAACAAAGCCTTGAGTCTTTGTGCAATAAGTTCATTGTCACACCAGACTCGGGTTAATACAGCTTCCAAATTACCCAAAAGTCTCCATAACTTTGAGTGCCACTTCCTCGACTGTATGCGATTGGTTCAGTGACTGCAGGTATAGGAGCATCA